TCTGTGAACTCCAGAAGATCTGAGTAGTCGTCAATCTCCGTATTAACTGACTCTTTTTCTGCCAATCTTGGGGCAGTCTCTTCCTACCATCATTGGATACCTTGTGCGCAGATCCCAACTTTGCTTCTATGTCCAGTGCTTTTTTACTAAAAGAAGCGAAGGTGTGCTAATCGACATTGGCCTCATCGACAAGCTTGGTCCTTACCTCTGTAGGTAGGCACCTTAGGTAATCCGTCAGGAGAACCTTCTGGTCAAAGCGCACACCAGGTACCATGAGAAGGCGTTCTACGGTGTCTGATAGCTCTCTAACATCCTTAAACCTTCGGGAACATAGGTTGTTGATAGCATCGGTGGCCTTTTGAGCCCCTTGCGGGTCATGCCACCTGTTGTAGACTGACCGTACGAACTGTTCCAATGTCTGAGCCTGAGCCCAAGCATCGAAATCCTGACCGCAGCCCTGTTGCTGCACTAAGTCATTCAACCAACGGGTTGCTGATCCTTCTAAAAAGGAGGCAGCCACTACAACTTCTTGTTCTGGCCTTGTGAGCTTGTGCCTCACATAAGTAGGCACAATCCTCACCCAGGTGTCCAAGTCTTCCTCCTTCTTGTCTCCAGAGAAAGGTTTGGGACTCATTAGAGGTATCTTGGGCATCCACTGCATAGGCTGCATGGGCCCAGGTGCTTGCTGCAGCGGCTGCATAGCCACTGAAACAGGCTGTTGCATACTAACCTAGTTCTGGCTAGACAGTGGGACTGTAGTGACCACTGTTGTAGATGGTACATCTGAGACTGACCGAACCGGACCACAAGTTGCTCCCAAACCACCCGGAGGGGGTATGCCAAACATAGGAGAGAAAGTGTGCTCTGTGCGTTGCGGCATCGTGGACGGACCCGCACCTGCAAGGGGAACTACAGCAAGCTGTGGCTGCCTCACCATTGGGCGAGTGCCCTGAAGTTCAGCCAAAATTTGTTTCTGGCCTGCTACCAAATCAGCCAACAATTCCTGTTGAACGCTTTGCGCTTCCGCCACTGAAAGTAAGGCGCCTCGCAGCACACGAACAGCAGGGTCTAATGCCGACTCATCCAATCCTTCCAATATGCCTAGCTCATGAACTCTGCTCTCTAGTCTAGCTTTTCCTTGCATAACTTTCCTTCTCCTCTCTACTACGTCGTCCATCTGTCGCTGTAACTCACCTTGAAGTTCTTTTGCTTGCCGGATTTCTAAGTCCTCTGGCATGAGTGGAGACTGGCTGACTCGCACATGGCCAATCTGACTAATGGGAACCAGAGAACCACCCTGACTGACTCCTGAYGAAGAGGGTTGTGTAGAGGGTTGTGTCATAGAGGAGGTAGTTATGGTTGCACTAATGCTAGTTGTAACTCTAGCCCTAGCATTGTCCTCAACTGCCCTCGCTCTCCTTGTCGCTGCCCTCTCTCTAGCCTCTCTCCTCAATCTTCTCTCATCTCCTAGACCTATCTCCAAGAATGTCAAGGGTCGACTGCGGGCAGTCCCGCGGGTAGTCCTACGGTCGTCGACTAGTAACTCCTCACTTGTGCTTGCATCCGAGTCACTCATGAGCTACAGTGTGTGTGATATAAACTAGAATCCACACTGAATCCTACATTAGCTTGACACACATCCGTATATGATACACAACTAACCACGGTCGGCATGAACAAAAATAGTTAAGTGATGTAGCAACAACTAATGTCAGGTCCTACATGATATATCAGATCTATTTTTAGATTACCCTAGAACTGATTGCAATATAGCAAAGATCTAGTCTATCTGTAGCTGTCTGTCAGTTGTCAGCAAGTCTGTAACAACTAGATAATCAAAAACAAAAATAACATCTCCTATTGGAGATGCACACTGGATGGCAGATAGTCTGTTGAGTGTCACTGTGAACAGTTACCGGAATACCCCCCTCCCCCTGTATCCTTCTTGATTAGTCACTTTGTGTCAACGTCCTTGAGCATCTGGTTGAGCAGAGTGTCTAAAGGTGTGCAATCCGGTCCCACCCCTGTGCCTCAAGTCATCGTCGAGCAAGGCAGCCACATCACTCTTATTTACCCTCGTACGCCGACGAGCCTTACACCCGGTTGATCTGGCTGATCAGGAGGAATTTAAAGAGCGCCCCCATCTCTTCAGGAATTATTGAACGTCGCATTCAGGACGACGATCACAGCCAGATTCAGATCCGAGTCCCCAACCAGAAATGTTTATAGACGGTCTGGTGAGCGTCTCCTAGAGGCTGCCATGACCGAGTTGACCCCTATTTGCGCAAGCAGCAGATCCAAGGACTTGCGCCCAAGCATGCGTGTACAAGTCCTTGCAGGTTGGCATGGTGACCGTGACCCGAGTGCTTCGTCCAGGGCCCTTCAGAGGCTTCGCCCGTCTCCCACCAGCTTGCTGCCCAGGAAGTATGTCGACTCTCAAGGTTGAGCGCTCGCGACACCTCACATCGAGAGAACTCTCAAGACGGAACTCACTTCCTCACGGTAAGAAGAGATGAAGAGGGTAGATAAGGAAGAGAGCAACGTACCTCATAAATGCTGCCCCCAACTACAGATTTCTCACCAGTAACCTGATGTGCAATTATGATGACCGGTGTTTGCTTCGGCACAACCAACAGCAGAATGCGGTTCCACCTCAGCTTAATATGTCACATCAGCGAGTTCTCATCATCCAGCATACATCCCGTACGTCACCACATAGCTCCCTGGCGTGCCCACACAACCCTTGGGCGCCTAATGTTCAACGCCAATGGCGCATCACAGCCCCACACCTCATGCGAAGTACCAAGAAATATTGCGAAGAACCAATGAAACGCAATATGAACCAGCTCCGATACCAAATTGCAAGGAAAATAAGCAACAGCGAGATGACAAACCCAGATCACACCATCACATTGCAAGCCAAATAGTCACACCGTGTCCAGATAGCAGCCTTGCACCAATTATACACCAATGGAGTTTCATAGCACTGAAAACCAATGTCCGTGGAGCCCTCACATCATCATCATCATCACCATCCTTCACCTATCCCCTGACTTCCCCACACCTGTCCTCTCTGTCACCCGAAGACCACCCCTGCGCTTCACTGTAGTCCAAGCCCACCAGCTATGGTGGCTGGGCTATGGCGCTGCCCTCAACAGCGCCCTCCTCCTCTGCACGATCGCACATGTTGCACCTCGCCTCCCAGCGCTAGCAGCAGCCTACGAGCATTAGCTCCAGCAGCGCTGCCGCCCAGCATGCGAGTGCCTGAATGAGGCAGCCAGGGCCGAGCTCTTTCCTTTATGGAAAGAGTTGGCCTGCTCACGCAGCCTGGCTGCCTTGGCCTGGGCCCARAAGCTTCCGGAAGGCCCCAGGAGGCTGCCTGGATGCAGCAGGTATTGGGCTGCTGGGCCTCGTTCGATTGGGCGCCCAACTGTCTCTGTATGAGGCTGCGAATCACGGCCAGGGCCTGCATTCTTTGGAAAAGCCCGGTAGGCCGTGGAAATGTCTGCACCCATCAAGGAAAGCTAGGGGGACCGGGAAGAAGAAGGTAGGACGGTCCACGGGTCAGGGGGACCAAGGAACACCCACATCGGTGAAGATTGGTTTAAAGTATGAGGTGTGGCGTGACCCCGTTGTTAGGGGTACATGTATGAACTGTGGCCATTATGGTCACACGTCCAGGACTTGCCGTGGCAAGAAGGTCACCACGAAGGTAGCCTCACCAACGGTGGTGGGTCTATCTTCAAACCCTGGGAGTGCTTCTGCGAGCAGTTGACAGGGAAACACCTCGGGCCAGTAGGAGTGTTAGCCGCCCTTACTCGCGCTGAAGTGGTAACGTTGCCTTCCCCACTTCAGGCGTTGGCCAAGGCTAGTGACCCACGTATCGCCCCGCAGACACATTCAGACCCAACGACGCTCTGTTTGAAAGATGTGTCTGAGGCCCTAGAGGAGTTAGAGACTGAGTGGTCAAGGAAGGACCCCAGGGACTCTTGGGCGGTGATTAGTAAAGGTCCAAAGGGTGAACATTCCGTGGTAGAAGTAGATGTAGATGACCGCAAGGTTGGTGCCTTCACAGACATAGGCTGTACACGAAATTTCATCAGTCGTGCTTGTGTGGATAGACTGCGCTTAGGGGATCAAGTGCAGCGGCTTAGCAAGACTGTAGCTTCTACGCTAGCCAACAAGCACCACATGGTAGTAAAAGACTATGTCAAGGACGTAGCCTGTTCCTTCTCCTATGGAGTCTATGGAGGAGGGGAAGTGATCCAGAAGATCTCATTCCTGGTTAGCGACGAACTGCCATTCGACATGCTACTGGGCATGTACTACCTCGAAGACTCGCAACCACAGTTTGATTGGGATAGAAAGGTGTTGATACACAAGTTGCCAAATGGTAGGACCGTTAGGTTGCAGAAGAACAAAGCTAGCAGTCCAGTGGAGAACTACGGCTGCATGTGCGCTTCGTCTTTCTATAACTACTACAAGCAGAATCGCGAGGAGGGCATGTACCTAGTGTTTGTCTTTGAAAAAGGGGAGACCGTTAAATCACCCCCAGAGATAGAACAAGTTGTCGCTCAATATTCAGACCTTTTTTAGGAGCCCACAGGCGTGGTGGAAAGGGAGGTTGTCCATGCAATAGAGGTTGTCCCAGGTAGTAAGGTGCCTAGAGGATGAATCTATAGGATGTCTCCTGCGGAGTTAGATGAGCTTCGCCGCCAGCTCAAGGAGCTCACAGAGAAGGGATGAATACGACCTAGTACCTCCCCTTACGGTGCGCCAGTCTTATTTGTTCCTAAGAAGGGAGGTCCTTTAAGGATGTGCATTGACTATAGGGGCCTCAATGCCATCACCGTTAAGAACGCGGAGCCCCTACCCCGCATTGATGACCTCTTGGATAGAGTGCAGGGATGTCGGTACTTCACAAAGATAGATGTGAAGTCCGGATACCATCAAATTGCCGTTAGGCCTGAGGACCAACACAAAACCGCATTTCAAACCAGGTACGGTCTGTACGAGTTTGTGGTGATGCCTTTTGGCCTATGCAATGTGTCTGGTACGTTCCAGCACGCGATGAATAGGATCTTTCATAACTACTTGGACAAGTTTATCGTCGTGTACCTCGACGATATTCTTATCTTTAGTAGGATTGTAGAGGAGCACGCTGAACACTTGAAAACAGTGCTAGGACTCCTAAGACAGCACCAGTACAAGGTAAACTTGGATAAATGCGAGTTTGGTCGCACCAAGATCTTGTATTTGGGTCATGAAATTTTAGCAGATGGATTGAGGCCGGAAGATGCGAAAGTGGCCAGCATACGTGACTGGCCCATACCTCAAACTGTTACAGAGGTCAGATCGTTTTTGGGGATGACGGGCTATTATCGTCCGTTTGTGAAAAACTATAGTACTATAGCTTCCCCATTAACAGATCTAACTCGACTTGACACCCCTTGGGAGTGGACTGAAGAGTGTGAGGCAAGCTTCAAGAAATTTAAGTATGCTCTAACGCACTATGAAGTTCTCAAACTTCCTGATCCTGACAAGCCATTTGTTGTGACCACAGACGCTAGCCGATATGGCATAGGCGCGGTCCTTGCGCAACAGGAAGGGCCCAAGTTGAGGCCAATCGAGTACATGAGCAAGAAGATGCCATCTCAGAAGTTGGCCAAGTCCACTTATGAGAGAGAGTTTTACGCCCTGTACAGAGCGCTAGTTCATTGGAGACACTACCTCCTAGGAAGATTCTTCTATGTGAGGTCGGACCATGAAACTTTGCGCTGGATTAAGACACAGCCAGTCTTGTCGGACGCACTCAAGAGATGGATTCAAGTGATAGACATGTATGACTATCAACTTGATCCTATCAAGGGTACGTATAACAAAGTGGCTGATGCGCTATCAAGAAGGGCAGATTATCTGGGCGCGCTAGTAACTGAGTTTGGCATATCAAATGACCTCACCCGATCGTTGGTGGAAGCCTATCAGGGAGACCTAGTCATGTCAGAGATCATTTGTAGGTTCAAGGCAAAGGATAAAAAGACTTTGGACGAATTTACGATGGTAGACGACTTGTTGTTACTTGATAAGGCAGGGAATAAAAGACTATGTGTTGCTAATAACGAGTCTTTGCGTAGTTTATTTCTAGGAGAGTGTCATGATGCAACAGGTCATTTTGGCTATAAGAAGACAACAACAAACTTAGTTCAGAAATTCTGGTGGCCCTCTATGATGGAAGATGCAAAACGATATGTTGAAACCTGCCAGGTTTGCCAAAGGGACAAACCAAGGACTCAGGCACCGCTTGGGCTCATCAAGCCCTTGCCGATTCCTGAAGGTCCTAGTCAAAGTGTGTCCATGGATTTCATGGATACTCTTGTGACCAGTAAGTTTGGAAAGAGACACATTTTTGTAATAGTGGACCGCTTCACTAAGTATGCAAGACTAATCGCTATGCCAGAAACAACTAAAACTGATCATGTCATCAAACTATTTACAATTGGGTTCGTGACTTCGGTTTGCTTACGTCTATCGTTAGTGATAGGGATGTCAGGTTCACAAGTGGACTGTGGCAGTCAACTGCTGAGCAAATGGGCACAAAGCTCCAAATGACGTAAGGGAATCACCCTGAGTCAAATGGCCAGGCTGAACAGATGAACCGTGTAGTACAACACCTACTTAGGCATTATATAAAGCCAAGTCAGGATGATTGGGACGAGAAGTTACCTCTCGTCGCCAGCTTGTACAACAATGCGGTGCACAGCACTACTGGCGTGACTCCCAACCAGTTACATCTTGGTTGGAAGCCCAGATCTGCGCTTGATTTTCTGTTACCAGAAAGACAACCCACTGCAGCATGTGGCAGCATAGAGTTTGCTGTCAAGTATGAGCAGATGCTGCAGCAGGCCGTGAAAAATATTTAGAAGTCTCAGGATGCTATGATTGCATATGAGAACTAACATAGACGGCCTTCTTACTTTCAGGTACGTGAGAGAGAGTTTGGGTAAGATCATCTGAACTAGGGCAAGAGATAGGAATCTCAAGAAAACCGATGCCTCAATACTTTGGGCCCTGGGAGATCTTAGATATTGTAGGGGATCAACCTGATAGGCCTTCATACGTGATTCGTATCCCTGCACACTTACGGACCCATCCTGTTTTCCATGCCTCCAAGCTGGCACCTTTTTCTGCCACAGACCAGTTTCCCTCTCAGAGATCGATGCTGCCCCCAACCATGGATGGCGAAGTGGACATCGACCAGATCGTCGAGCATCAAATGATGCCTGTTCCTCGACCATCAGGCAGAGGGCGACCTCCTAAACCAAGAATGCAGTATCGGGTGAGCTTCAGACATCACCTCGATCCCAAGGAAGATCGCTGGTTCACAAGAGAAGAACTCATGAGAACAGCACCTGACGTGATTGCAGGCTATGAAAGAGAACGAAAAGGGAAGATGCTTGCAGAATAAGAAGACTTCTCAGGGGACTCACGAAAATGAGGAGGAGGGAATGCGAGGATCAGGGTCCTCGGTAGGCCTATGGGGCCCTGTCCGCAGCCTACCCGCCCTAAGTGAAGGCGGAGGTGCCCGCCCTAAGTGAAGGCGGGCCTGGCTTTTTGCAAAAGGCCTTTGAGTGTCAATTTCATATTTGGGGTTCAAGCAGTTGCGACGCGCCAGTTGGTTGAAAGAAACACAGGCCGAGCAACAAAGACATTTCCACGGCCTACCAGGCCTTTCCAAAGAATGCAGGCCCT